TCAGAGCTAATCCCATAACTTGTATTTACTGCCTGGAGCATTCAGGCAGACCCGAGGATAAAGCAGTGCTCCAGGGATACACAACAATCTTTTTTCCTCATTGCTGCTTCTTACAAGGAAGAAAAAGTTGTCTCTTTGAGGACACGTTAATTACAGAACAGTGAAACAAAATCTACAAACACCAGAAATTACACTTAATTAAACTGTATTTCTACTAGAAAGCAAGGGATCCTTTGTAAAATTAAGATAACTGTCCGGAAAGCTTAGTTCCAAAGAGTGACTGCAATGATCATTTCAGTGCATGCCACGACAGGCCAGTTAGTTACTCACACTGGGGAATTCTGGTGCTGCGGATCAGGATATCTCAGCCTGTTGAAAGAAATTGGGAAAAAAAAAAAAAGTCTGTTGCAAAAAAATCCTCCTGCAGACCACCTATGCTACATGGCCGTACCGCAGGTTCTACTGTCGCGCTTAATCCCGCTGCTAATAAATTAAACTCCCCTTCTCAGCAGTTTCCACGTATGTTTTCTGTGTGTCACAGCTACCCGTGGCATCTCCCCACGGCAGTGACCTTCAGCTGGTACCAGCCCGCAGCCCAGAGCAGCGTGCTGTAAAACTCCCCACATGCTTCCTGCTAGACCTCGCTGCCGAAGATTTGTTAGTGTTGGCAGCAGGCTGAGAGCTGCTCTTGTGCAATGCTTTATTGTGTTTGTCTCCATTTTTCCACCAGCCTGGCTAGAATAATTCCATCTCTAACTTCATTACATAGGCTTTAAGATTCCTACTGATTTTCCCCTCGGACGCGGCCGTGGACTGTCCTCCTTTTCGGTCACATCCGCAGAGAGAACAATCCCAGGAGGAGAAATTCCTGTCTTCTGTCCCCCCCTTCAGAAAGGATCTAGGAAGCTCGCCGCAAGTTCCCTGGCGGGATGAGGGGGAAGGGCTGCGTGATGCTTTGGCCCACTGTGCCTCATCCATCACTTCCTAGAAGCACAACACTATTAAAACAATAGCAGGGACTCTGGCCAACTCCAGGCGCTCCTGGGAAGGATTATGGAAAGAGCCAGCCGAGCCGTACGGCCGAGCCTTTCTTCCACCCTCCTCCTACACCTCCAGGCACACCACTTCCCCAAGGGCCCTCGCTGGTCTTACAGGGCATGGGGACAAGACCTGAAATTGTTCAAGATCATCTTCTGCCTGTGTCGTGGTTTGAGGAACCCACCACAATTTATTTAGACAACTATTCTCTCACCTAGTGACCCCTCCCCACTTGGGGAAGGGGAATCGGGGAAAAAACAAGGAAACCTGAATCTATATTTGAAATATAAACAGATTTAATAGAGCAAGACTAGATAATTAACATTAATAACACTAAAGAACCAGTATCAATACCAGTATAAAATATTCTATCAGCAGGAAGCTGTGCATTCCCACCAAACGCAGGACACAGTGAGCACTATGGCTTCAGGAGGAAGGGAAGGGGTCTGGCACCGGGGCAAGAAGTTCTCAGGATGGTAGCCATCAAGGGGGAGAGAGAACTCCCCAGCAAACTTTCTAATTTTTATTTCATACCATGAACGTTGCATTCAATAATCCTGTTAACCCAGGACTGAAGTAATCCTGATAACCCAGCTTGGGTCGAGCACCCAGGTCTTGCTCCTCCTCATCCCCACACCTGGTGAGCTCGGAAATGCCAAGACCTTGAAGCCCACACACCATAGCTGGCTATAATAAAGGAAATATTTCCACAAATTCAGACACTAGAGTCTTCTAAAAGCACAGTTTTCCCAAGCATTAGAAGAGACCTTACCAAAAAAGTGAAATTGCTGAAAGAGAAATTAATCCTGTGCTGCTCAAGCCAGGACAGCACGGCAGGCAAGAAAGGGACATTTAGAAGATCATTCCACTTGGATGTGGGGTGAAAGGAAAGGCTGGGGAGCAGTGGGTGAACAAAGTAACAGCCTGGAAGCATGCAATTTGATAGTTTCCTTTCTAGTGTCCACTTTGCAAGCCCACAGCCACACTAACTAGCTCTTTCAAGAACAAGACAGTTCACATGTAACTAATCACTAGTTATTTAGACGAAGAGGCTGCTGGATTGGGCCAAAATACTGACAAATAAAACAACATACAAATCAGTCACACTTGGCCATCCCATTCAACCCAAATGCCTGTATTGCAAGAACAAGTACATATTGATATAAGGAAAGCCAGGCAAATATTGTCAAAGCTTAGTTTGGGCGTGTTCTGTAAAGTCTTTAAGTCACAGTACTTAAGATGACCTTAATGTACATTTGGATATTTCAAAGTTAGTGCATTATCCTGATGCATCCCTACCTAATCCTTGCTACTGAAATGAATTTTGGTATTTGACTTGTGTTGCTTGGATTAACATAACATAGTGTTCTAAGAGGCAACTAAAAAGCCACAGGAAATTCGAGCACTACTGTTAGAGATACATGTTAAAATTCCAAACAATGTACTTGAAATAATTTTTTTTAACCTTTTAAATTCCAAATTTGGCTAAGTAATGCTTTCCTATAGCTGTAGAAAAATATTATTTTTTTGTTCTTCTTCGGGTATCCTGCTAGTAGAAAAATCAACTCCCCTGTCTACACAAATCCATAAGTGTATGCAATTAGAATGTCAAATTCAAATTTGCACTTAAAGCTTTCTTTTTGAAAAAAGGCACAGATGACAAATTGGAAAGCATAAGTACATTAAAATGATTACTAAAAATCTCTCTCCACCACAAATGAATGTTAATCACTTCCACACTTAAATTATTTTTAGAAGTGATCAGACCAAACTTTTAAAAAGCGTATTAGATGCTTAGTGACAATAACCTCAGTAAAGTTGCTTATTTTAATCAAACCTTCATTCATTACCTCATGCTCTCTAATCACTTTTGAAATAAGATACTGTATGATGCAACGTGCCCAGGTCTGATGATGGAGGAGGTAACAGAAGACAATTTTACTTTTAGCCTTACTTTGAAATTAAAGATGTTGACAGTCTGGAAGCCTGCCCAACAGGCATGGTGCTGCTAGTTTCTTCAAACAGACGAAAAACAAAGAGAGGAACTCCCACCAAAGCGCACCAAGGGCAGAAGCTAAGTTTCACAATTAATTCCAGCGTGGCTCCCATGCAGGACAAACTACGCTCCACAGTTTCACCACTCCAATTTAAAGTCTGCAGAAGGACCAGAAAGACAAGAAAAACTCCTTCCTTTCTATGCGTTTCTTCAAGAGTCATCTTCAAAGCCAATTCCTCACGCAGTGCTGCTCTGCTGGCTTGGACTGCAGCATCACAGCACCCTGCCAAAGGCGGTTGTTAAGGAGAAAAATAATGCAGCTGGGAGCTCTGTTCTCAAGCAGGAATCTAAATACTAAACAGAAGCTGCGACAGCTCCTTGCAATGACAGCACAGAACATCTCCTGTATGGGAGAAGGTGCCAAGGAGGCCCAACTTGCAACCCGTGTTTCCAGAGATCACACTTCCTCACAGACCGGGGCACGCTTGGGCACGGCTAACACTGACTGACTCGGAGAAGGAAGGTCAGCTTCCTCTTCTCAGTGCATTTGAAGCCAAGTCATCTTTGCAAATGAACACACGGGATGCATGAACCACTACCATTTCCTTACACGGAAGATAGTGCCCTTGGAACCAGAAAAAAACAAAACAGAATTTTGAAAGCTGCCATCAAAATGAGTTCGCTAAAAATATTTGAAAGAGAAGTTTCAACTTGCGTTAACCCACTTTTTAACTCATTAAATGGAAGACCACCGGTTGGCAAACCAGGCCCAACCTGTTGGTAGAGAAGGCCACTGCAGAAGGTGGAATAAGTAGTTTGGTACCATCCAGCATGTGACAGTTTGGGGCTCTAGAGTTACTGACATGAATTTTATCAGAAATGACACAGAGAATGTTATGAACTGCTATGAGGAAGAAATGAGAGTCATTTCCTTTGACCGCAGAGTCTTATACATGATCCCAGAGTCTCCAGAACCTGTACCGTGTATTTACCTCTTTCTCTACTACTGTTTATTTAAAGGTCCACTCAAACGGGAAAGGAAATTTAAAAGTTTGTTCATTGATACAGAACATCCTCTAAAATCTGTATGAATGTGTACACTCCTGCCTGAAATTAACGCTTTAGTTTTCATAGCATTTCAATTACGCGCTTTTTATTATTGAAGCTTTTAGTATAAGAAAAGATTCCAAAGTATCCAAAACATTTATTGCCAAAAAAAAATAAATTAAAATTGTTCAGTTAAATGCTGCCTACATTCAGACAAGTAATTTCTAAGGGCACTGTTACTTAGTAACTTTCAAGTACACAAAAATACCTGAGTTTAAATGCTTAGGTGATTTTTTTAATACAAAGACAACTGGTGTTATGTTATTATGTCATGCACCAAGGAAGACAAAATACGAATAATGTAACTGGAAAACCCAGCATAACAACATAGATTATCAACTCACACAATGAAAATGAGCAAATTAAACAGCCCCCCCAAAAAACAAGGTGTTGAACTGACAAGAGAAAAAAGCTACCATCAGTAAAGAACGTATGAAACTCCATGGCTAAGGAAACATTCCATTCTTACATAAATCACTAAAATGCATAAGCAAGTTCCAACAGCAAAAACCAAAACACACGAATGATATGATAAAACGTAGCTACCAGATGGAAACGTAGAGAACAGTGGAGATTATGCTTCCTCAGCCCCTTCCAATTAGCAATGCCAGCTCTAACGGATGTGCTCTGCATCCCAGGATGCGGCACCAGACATCCAGCCCCTGTGCCTCCCCCACCCACCCACCGCAACACTTCCGCTTAGCAGGACTGCACGAGCCTTTTCTTTAAGTTTTCTGTCCTTTTAAGCAGTGTCCTAAGGACACTTCCATTTACTTATTGCCTTTGGTGTTTGTGGAGCTATGTAGGCCCTAGAGGTTACACTCTACCCAGTTAATATCGAGCATATGAAATTTCTTACCTCCAATATTCTGAATAATTATTGTAGTTGCAACAAGGACCTATAAAAAAAATTGATTTCTTTAGAAAGGTAAGGATAACTAAAATCATATGCCTATAGCAGTAATAAAACACATATGTATTATCTTAAACAGACCAGATGTAGAAGTGATGACTAGAATTGAAAGGAAGGGCATCTTCTCTTTACTGAAGAGTTTAACACATGGAAACCAATGCAATCTAAAATTAATATAAAAGTGAAAAATCCCCCTGAAAATGCTGCATTTCCATTCTGAGATGACAAAACAAGAGAATTTAGTGTGAAGCCTGTTCTGCATTCTAATTGACATCAGGTGAGTACAAATGAAAAGAATCATTCACCTCTGAAAAGACAAATCAGACAGCAGAGATTTGTATAAGCTACTTCCTCCTCCAAAAAACTGAGTATTTTTAACTGTCATGAATGTCATTATCTTTTAAACTACACTAGATGGACTTATCTTTAGCACTTGTGATTATTCATACTGGATTGATGTGGAAGTAAAAATAAACACAGGCTACTAAAATATTTGTCTGAATCCAAAGACTTCACTTCCAACTGAAAAAAACCCTAAAAGCGTCTGAAGTTCTCCCAGTGTTTTCTTTTCAGTTCAGTTCTAAAATAGTAAAATAATTTGGTACAATTTTAACTTTTACCCACTGCTCTTCTTGATGTAGCAGGACCTTCCTACGCGAGTGCTACCATTAAATCAACTTGGAAGAAATGAAGTCACAGTTATGAGAACAAAACCAAATTTGAACTCTTGACTAAAACCTGAAAGCAGAGTTGTCATTTTTTCAGTTGCTCAGCTAGAAAATCATATCAGATTTTAAACTAATTCAAAGTCAGTTCAAAAGTCACCAGGAGAAGGAAGGGGAAAAAAAAAAAAAAAGAAAGAAAAAAAAAAAGTACAGTATCTTGGAATTTGCCACAGATGGAAACAAACTCTTCATGCCTTTGGAAAGGCAGAATCAGCAATCCTCCAATAGCAGAAAATATCCAGTCTTATAAATCTCAGAGAAATATTTTTGACAGGAAACCACCAAAAGGTTGAATAACTGCTCTACTTCAAGAGCAGGTAACCAGTAGTTTACTGCCAATCTAAGACGTCAGTTCAAGCAAGGTCCTACAGCAGTCTGTCTGTATCATTAGCAAATTACTTGGGTGAGGGAAGAATAAGTATTAAAGAAAGAAAGAAAGAAAATAAAGCCATCTGTGTCCAACTAAAGTGAGGAGAGCTCAAAGAAAGGATTAGAATTCAGAATGGTTGCGGTAAACTAGAAAAGTCTAAAAGTCAACAAGATCAGTTAAAAGCAATGCATGCGGGAAGTAGACTTTAAATATACGACAGAGCTATTAGATTACAAATAAATTAAATGGTCTGAGATCACACAATTAGGAGCATGAAGCACCCACAGGAATAGCAAATCTATTTTTGGGACGTTGTACCAGCCATGTTCTATCTAAAATACAGGTAACAATTACATTTCTTGTCATTGTCAAGTTCTCAGCCAGCTTACTGTGTTCCATTTCGCAGGCAAGTTTTAAGAAAGGCATATAAATATCAAAGATACTTCAATAGAGAAAGATAAGTGTTCCAGGAAATATTAGTTCATAAGGAAAGCTTGATTTACTTTGGTTAATTATTTTATCAAAACAACAGCTTCCTAACCCAGAAATATTCCAGCGCTCTCCATGCACACTGAAAATAAAAGACCCCATGATTTTTTGCACAAGTTATTTAAACCAAGAATTATGAAAAAGTATATTAGGGAGAATTAAAAAAAAAAAAGTTTAACTGCTGTTGACTACACAGTGAAGCTGTGAAATCTCCTTCATTTAAGTTTTTAAATAACAGATTAGACAAACATCTGCCAAGAGTAGTTTATGTAAGTTTAGCCCTGCAAAGGCAGACTAAGTCACATTTTAGTATCTCCTTAAGCTCTACATTTCTGTGACTTCTGCTTCTAATGGCTTGTGGTTACTGTGTACAGCACAATTCCTATAAAAATAATTTTATTTCATATCTTGCTAATATCAAGGTTTATTATCTCTTGAGGCTGATCACATCTTAACGTTGATCGATAAACATCGATGCTCACAGACTACACTCGTATCTGCTTATTAATGTTAATGGAAGTCTTACAAACACCTAATAGCTTAAATTTAATTCCCAGTTACATTAAAACAGAAGAAATCAGACTCTAGCCTGTTAAGCAGAACTCATTTTAAAAAAGAAAATTACGTTATTTCAGTAGACCATTAAAATTGCACTTCTGTGTGGTAGAACCTGCTTTTAGTATCATGTAACAAGCACAGAAGTCGTAATATTAAATGTGCAGAATTCACAAGTAGCATTTCCTGTGCACCCAGTATTACTGGACAACGTTGCCTACTAGGAAAACCAGACACAGTACACACTACTAAAAAGGGACGGCTCACACGCCGATTACTTTTATACCAAAAATGGTTAGTTTACTAGTGGGTTTTTGTTGGGGTTTTTTGTTTGTTTTTTAATCCTGAAATAAACAAGAAGAAACATTCATCTGAAGAGTTTATTAAACAGAAGAAAAAAAATATAACGTGCATTAATTGTTCCCATTGTGGAAACGTCACCAAAGGCGAACGCGTCTCTTGGGTCTCTAACAAATGCTAGAACCCCAAGGGTACATCACTCACCTGTCTCTCAACAGTTCACAGCAGAGCTACAAAGGGACCCTAACAAACCTCAAATGGATTGCTGAGCCAACTCGACAGCAATGCCACCAACTAAAAAATTAACATACCGACAGGAAAGTAGCGCAAAATCTTATATTTAAGGACCATCTGTTTTACAGTTAACTAAAGCCTGGGCTTCCACAGACCAGACACACTAAGGAAATGTAGCAAAATGCTTCAGGACGTAACAGATTTTTTCTGTATACTAGGACACAGGAATTTTACTACTTCTTTCATTTCTATCTCTTTACTAGGGAAAGAACAGTTGTGCATCAGAAGCGTGAGAGCAAGAACTAAAATACACAGGTAAAAAATAAATACTCACCTTTCCAGTTGATCCAAATGCAAAGAGGCCGAGGTCTTCATAAGAAGTGACAGCTGTTAGTAAGGAAAAAAACCACTAAAATATTTCTAACTAGAAAAATCACTTAAAACCTTTAGCTTTGCCTTTTTCCCCTTTTTAAATGAATGTAATTCAGGACAGAATTAAAAGCATATTTTATACTATTTTTATTTACAAAATAGCTTTCATGTATACCTGTACTCCTGTTAGAAAATACAACTACGCTCAACCATTCAGACTCTCCAGAAACTCAACTTAGTATTAGAAAAAGTAATGTTTAAAAAATACATTAATGGAAAGTTGCTTTCTCCCAAAGATTTTTTGCAAGTGATACTATAAATGAAGAATTCTGAAATTAGCCTCAACAATTAGATACAAGACATCCCCACATTTTTTTTTTGTTAAAAGGGTACACTTCTTTTTTAAATGAACATGGCAACAGAGGATCCATTTTCATCTTTCTACAAATATAAACATCAATCCCCATCTTGCCAGCTTTTAAAAAACTCGGCACTATTTATTTTCAAGAGAGCTGAAGATAAACACCTTCCTTGGCTGAAGTCTATTATTAAAAACAAAACAAAACGAAAATCCTGCCCTTACCTGCACCTGACTTACATAATCACATTAAAACAGCCTGTGGTTTCCTGTATGCTTTTGTTGAGTTTTAGCTGAAGCTCACTTCTAATATCGCTGGTAACTCAAACCAATCCCTTCTCAGAAAGAAGGAAGTCGTATTAAAGTCTTTCATTCTTGCCCTGTATTTTGTTATTGGAAACTCAAGCGATATCAAAAAGATGAAAGTTTTCTGAGAAACACCATTCACTTTCTTGGTATATATAATAAAACGATCCACAGCTGTAAATACCTCAAAGGGTAGAATTGATCTCAAACCCACGTAATTGGTTTCTCTTCCTCGGTTCTACTTGGTACAGTACTGCTTCTACTCCTGTCACATCTTAATTTAGATGCTGGGGGGGGAAGATCTGCACACCTGAGTGAAGTCCCAGAGATGATGGGACCGGAGCCTCAGCCTACCAACTGCCCAAGCTTAAGTTCTGCACACAATCAGACCAATGCTCCAGAGGAAAAAAACCAAAAAACAAAACCCCAACAATAAAAAAACAACTCCCCTCCCCCAGAAAAACTTCATTAATTTTCTCATATGATTTTCTCAAGGGCAATGTCTCACATTCTGCTCTACTACCGACACCAAGGTGCTATGACAAAATAAATGAAATGACAAAATTAAATGAGCCAGAGTCAGTTCTCAGCATAAACCTGGACTAATCTCTTACATCAGCCACTGATACTAGTTACATACAGATATAATTAAACAAGAAGTATGTCTTACTAGATTTTAGCCTGTATTTTTCTTAGATTTCTATTTATAAAGTTGTTGATCACAAGAAAAAAACGGTAGCGTTTTAGAAGGCCATCTCCAATGGCATAATGAAAAAAAAAAAGTCAGTAACGTGTTAAACATATTTAGGAGAGAATTGCTTTTATCACATGGGAACACAGCACAGATGTATGAGAAGTTACCAAAAAAAGAGAACAAAATCTTCCACACACTTCCACAACAGCACCATGAAACCTTAGAATATTTTCTATGGTAACTCTTGTTTCTGTATCAATTTAATCCCGTGAACACTGGGAAGCTCTTAATACTGAATCACATTACTTTCATAATTTCAAGAATACATGGAACAACATATTAAGCACAACTGATATAAACATTTTGCCCGATTGGCTTGATTTCTATTATGTTATTAACATTAATGGGAATTATCCACTTAAATAGAAAGTGAAATTGGCAAGTAAAGTAGGAGCAATACCCATGACTAACTAATAAAATGAAAAGAAAAAAAAAAGCCACAAAACTTCAAAGTACATTCCACTTAAATTCCCAGTTCCTCTGCTTTACAGAGTAAGCTTAGCCATTGTCAGCCCAAACCCCAAAACAACGAAGGTCGTACTGAATTAACACCGGGGGAAAACACTGACTAAGCTAATCCAATTCTAACCCTTGACATTTGGGAATCTTATTTTTGCTAAGTCTTTTGGTCTACACAAATAGATTGATTTTGTCAAAGTCCAGACCAAACTGAAGACACTTCTTTAAACTATAACTAAAATGCTTATTCTTAATAAATCCTCTTCTCCTAAATGGAATTAAAATTACATCTCCCTTTTCAGAAGGTATTTTATAGGTCAACTCTTTCCTAAGGCTACTTTTATGATCGGAATACCTGAAAGAACAGTTTACAAACACTTCAAAAAGGTTTTTCTTCTCCACCCATTGAATTTTTCTAACTCATTTTTTAATGTAAAACTACTGAAATTTCTTTCCAATTGCTTGCCATGGATTAAGCTTAATGCCATAACGTTGTTCACAAAGGCATGTAAATTTTATAAGAAAAATGTTCAATTGTCTACTTTGGAAGCAAACACGTACACAGATTTTACTTCTTCAATGCATAACCGGTTATATTTCTCACTTTTTAAAGACAACATACCAAGGAAAACCTTGGAATGCTATCTAACATTTAACTACTTCAATAGTTTAGAGGAATTATAGTAAACATAATCTGAGAGAGGTCTTATTGTTAAAAAAAATCAGAACACAGAAGGCCATAAATCCAGCAAATTTATTTAGATAGCCGTTCTGGTGCTGTCAACATTACATTTAATAATTAGTTATTACCTAAAGTGCAAGTTTCAGACGAGAAATAGTTCATCCTGCCATTTCAGAGGTATTCCTTGCTTTCAGTTGGGTGTATTTAAAAAACGCTTTCTTGCCATTTCAAAAGGCATGTTGCCTTTGGACAATTACTGAGCAGTTAAACCATTCTTGTATACCAGGTCTCTAAGTTCATAACATTGAGACTTTTCTTACTTCAAAAAGCTTAAACCCTTAGTTTTTTCCTCTCTGAGCAGTAGTTCTTTTGCAAGGATCTCTTTAATTATTATTTTACCAAACAACAAGATAATACCACTTAGTGCCTACTTAATACAAAACTTTTCAGTCTCAAATAAGAGGTAAACAAAAAACATAAAAAATTACTTCGGGTTTCCCCTTTTTATGTACCTTTCCAGCTACTTATTTAAGGCTCCGATTCCTTTCTAATAAGCAGAGCTCCAAGAGGAGAAAAAAATTATCAAAGACTTAATCCCAAATCATCAAGCAGCCAACAATATCAACCATAAAAGTAACCCTACCTCTGAAGAATATTTTTTAAGAATGTATGAAGAAGATCACTCAATAGGTGAAGACAGGAGCAGCAGATCTAAGAAAAAAATCAGGAAGCAATCATCCGAGAGACCAAAGCTAGCTACAGAAAACAAAGCCAATAAGGAAAGAAACGGAAGCTTTCTCCCACCACCTTTGAAAAGAGAAGAAAACAGATGAGAGGGAAACAATAACCAGGTGACTGAAAGAGATGGAGACCTCCTGCTGTAGCGTGATCTTTGTGTACGAGAACTCAAGCAACTAGTCAGTTGTTTCAGTAATAATTAAAAGATGCAAGAAGTAAAACATTAGCAGATTAGATTGCAGATATTAGAATCCACTGTTTGAAACATTCTCAAAGCAGTGTAACTTCTAAGCACTGCAATATGACTTCTCATTCAGTACCAAAAATGCTGTAAAAACCTGCATCTATGAAGTGCCACGAGAGTTATGATAATTCAGTACGACTACAAAACCTGAAAGGCATCCATTTCAAACCATAAACAAGATATGTATTACAAGTATAAGAGTTAAAGTCTGCTATTTTATTGCTCTTAAGCCTTCTTTGGAAGCAACAGTACACACTGAAGTAGTGTGGGTCAGCCAGCATCAAAATAATTTTGTAACAAAAATACAGAATCTATCTTTTTGGAAAGATGAGAGAGGCACTTTGGAAAAATTAAAACTGAAAATCTAGAAACCAGTCAGTTTGGCATTGACTTTCCATAGGAAATTTCAAAATCGTATTTTTAAATGGTAAATAGTAATTGTTAAAAACCTTAAATATTTCAACATCAGTGAATCAGACACAGCTATCTGTCAACAGGCTGTTAATTATAATAATTATACTGGGTCATGTCTTTGTGATATTGGTGAGGAAGTATTTCAGAGATAAATCCTTTCCACTTACCAGTCTGGGTGCACATACTGAGCAGAAGAAAGACAGAGTAAGAAGCAAGGCTGGCAACGATCAGCAGCAAGATACTAAAAAAATCCAAAACGTTCACAATTAAAGCACTTTCACAGGACAATGCACTTTCTATCTTTAAGAATGCTACTTTTGCAAGCAGCAAGCTACCACAAGACAAGATTTCCTCATTTTTATGGCTTACATCTGCTGACTATAGTTCATCTGGCCTCTGACCTTCCCAATAGCTGCTAAGTTCCTCTGCTTTTTACACTGTTCACCAAAAAGCCTATCACGTGCTATACAGGGTAAAGGTCTGAGGAATTACAAAGATGACATAAGCATAGGAGTTTGTGTGTATACATATGCACAGACAAGTATGTATCTTCTAATGAAGTAAATCTAATGCTTAGGAAACTGTAAACGTGACAATCCTGGTAACTTTGGCCCTGTTATCTATAGGTTAGTGCATACAGCGAGCAGAAGTGCAAAAAAAAAAAGCACAAGCTGATGCACATTTTTCAGATACGTAGTCATCCTTTAGTTCTACAAATGGGCCTTCTGGAGTAGGAGATAGCAGCTTTAAAACCCAACTATTAATCTATTCGGAGTAATGGCCAAGAAATTGGCCAAGAAATTGCCACCATGTGGCAATTTAATGCAATGCCTGGGCAGTACTTCTGTTAGGCCAGACTAGAATGACTAAACCAGAGGGAAGATCTTATTCAACAATGCTGGAAAGCACAAGATTTTTGCTTCCCCCTCAGGTTTTGCACAGAAGTCTTAGCAATCAAGCTTTGTTCCATTTAAAACTGCGAGAGGAGTTTAAAAGTAAGTGTACATAAAAAAACAAGAACTTACCTAAACCCTATGATCCCTGTGTTGGCCATAGCATAGGACAAGCCAAGTATCCCACTTCCCATGATTGCATTCATTAAATTAAATACTGAGAAACCGAAGGAAGAACCGTGACTTGGAGGATTCTGTGAAAAAGGCAGAACAAAGTACAATTAGCCGCAGAGGTGGTTTGGTCTTTCAACGATAGGAAATTTAAGGGAGGGGGAGACCATCAACTTCTCCTTCCTTGGTCTAAAGCAGAAAAATCTCTTCTCTCGAGTCAAAGACCAGGCAAACCCCCGTGCGCGTTACACGGTACTGCCCCGTAAGGACGGCTAGATGCCTACAGCCTCCGACACTAGATGGCAAAGAGCGAGAGCTGCGAGCTTTGCGGGTGGAAAGCAGGCTGTCCCGGGGGCAGCGCAGGCGGCAGCTCTCCCAGCACCTCCGCAGCCCGAGCACCGCAAGAAGCAGAAGAGCCGCCCGGGACCAGACGTTCAGCCCCGCAGGCCCCGGCCCTTCCCGCTGCCCTCGCCAGGTGCCCCCCTCCCCAGCCAGGAGCCCTCCCTCCGCCTCCACCGAACCGCATCGATCCGAACCATGTCCGTCCCGTCCCCCCCGCCCTCCCCCGTCCGGGCCGCGCTCCACGAACTTCTCAACACCCCGCACGGCCGGGGGCAGCCCTCCCCGCAGGCTCCC